ATTTTACAATAAGCAATCCTGAAAAATATTTGGGTGCTTAAATTTTTTCCAGGTGTATATAAACAAATTCATGTTTACCTTTAAACATTAAGCCTAAATAGAAATAAAGCCAAACAAATTACTTCTTTATGTTTGTCTTTTTCCATAGAAGATGTCTGTTTGCGCATGTTGTTTCCAGTGTAAGCCACACATTTCAGCTGCCATTCTCCAATATCTTCATTCCAGTGGACCGACTGTTCCAGTAACTCCTGTATAAACAAACAAAAAAAACCCATCAATCCTTACCTGATCTATAAGCTTCCTGTACAAATGTACAAAATACTGTCATATGTTGAGGGATCAATCTTAAGATACCAGTGGTCATAACACTAGATTGAGACACTGATAAATGCTGTGTATAAAAATTAACTAAAAAACTGTTTCTAAACATGTTTCAATTCCAGCTGTATCAATTTATACTTTACAAAGGTATTCAACACATTAAATACAGGTTTTCTTGGGAACTGTTTTGATAAAATATATAAAAAACATATTTTAACGACAATACGTTTATATTTTATAGGCAGTTAATGTACAAAAAAATCCTCTATCTTGCTACTGTATCTCACTAAGAACAAAGCATTGAAACTTTATCGTCATATGCAACTTTTGTCTACATATAAAATAAATGAAAAATATCCAGCTCAATTGCAAGAGTATTTTTTCATAATACAAAAAAACATACTTTAAAAGAGAACTATTTAAATTTTAATGCAAAATAGATATATATATATTCATTTTATTTGTTTACTTTCACACACACAGCTACTCGAGGTCTATCTGCTCTAGCCTTTCTTAATTTTGAAGTGATAAACTCTGTAGCTGGAAGGAAGCTCGTCAACACTACCAAGTCTTGGGATACTGTTTACCAGTAAAGAGTGGCATTGACCACCATATTATAATTCCCTCACAGCTGAAAAGGCAAGCATATTTGGTGATAGGTTTCAATCTTGCAACCTGCGAGTTAAGTGCTCTAATCACCAGGACACTCCACACCTAAATTATCTATAAAAGTTTTAATTTCTTAATACCAAAGTCTAGAATTATGTAGAAACTGTGTATCAGTTTTATGGGAATAAATGGGTCTGAATTCAACATCAGTGTTTGTGATGTATTGTTAAGCTTGAAGAGCTAATTTACACATTAAGAGTTAAGTAAGACATCCAAGATGTCATTTTAAAACTGTATTACTTTAAACTTGTATACTTAGCATATATAAAAAGTTTTCTGTTGTATATAATATCCATTTTAACCTTAAATTAATAACCTACAAGTTAGTTTTCTAGAAGAGTGTTTTAAGAAGCAATGAAAATAAAGTTCAGAATATCTCCCAATATTTATTTACCTGGTATTCAGGTGGAATGAAAGCATTGATGACTAACATATTGAGTCGAAGCTCTCTACTCAGCTGTCGAACATTTTCTAAAAGCCCTTCAGCTTCTCTTTGGTGTTCTTGTTGAAGATCAGCCATCTCTGCTTTGGCACTCATTAACATGGTCCACACCTTCTTCAGTTTTTTGGTCTTGCCAGCAGCCTCCTCTTGCAAACTTGAGTACTTTTCTTCTATGTCTAGTCTTTCAGCCTTAAAATTAAGAATCATAATAGGTTTTAGTTTCATATATATATTAACTGTTAGTTTAATTAATTAACAATGATTTTAAAATAATTATAACCTTATAATACTTTAAGGTGTTCTTATCATACTGTCTTAATTA